CTGCTTTTTGGGGGAAACCGCTTTCAGGGACTCTGAGGAAGGTGTGGACACGGCTGTGCTCAGCTGGGATGCGCTGGGCTTTGGGCCAGCGTCATCCAGCAGAACTGCAGCCGGGGAGGCGCTTTCTTCCCCGGGTGTCGCATCACACCCGCTGTGCCTCTGAGGTGCTCCCACCAGAACGACTGGCCCAGTGCCCGGGCGTGGATTTGTAACGCTGCCCACACGGGCTTTCGACTCCTGTCGTAGCCTGTCAGCTCCCTGAGGTTATCCCCACGGCAGACCCGGGTGAATTCCTGGGGTTCACGCTTACCTGCTGCTCACGCTTTTGTGCTGCTGGCGTGGTGAGGCTTCCCGCGCTGCACGGCCTCGGCTGGTGTCTGCAGGAGATCTCGCTGGTTCCCCAGGAAACACGCTGTGTCTAACTTGTCCTGTCACTGTGTTCCAGGGGAATACGCGGGATTCGACGAAACACAACCAACAGCCGAGTCGGGGGGGAAAGGGAAGGTTATTGCTCACCTGAAGGAACAGTTCCACTTCAAGAAGGTAGTTATGGTTGGAGATGGAGCGACAGACATGGAAGCCTGTCCCCCCGCTGTAAGTATGAACGAACAGGCATTCCAAATTCCTTCTGAGGAAATCCTTTGGGGAAAAATAGAAAAGAAAAAAGTGTGCTTTGAATTCTTTACGGACTCTGGGGAAGATCTTTAGCCCTTCCCACAGCCCAGAAGGGACCGGTGCGGGCGGCGCTCCTCCTGGAACCCGCATCACGCAGTGGCGGCTGCTCTCCGCTCAGCCCCGCTCGGTCAGGGAGTCCCCTGGAAGCCAGGCTGCTGGCTGGGGGACGGTCTAGCGACCTGTCTCCAGTCGGGCTGCCGCGACGTCTGCCTTTTCCCTCCGTATGCCCACCGCTGAACGCCTGCTTCTGCGCAGGGCTCTTACCCACCAAGAGCCTGGTTCTGAACACCCTACCCTACGGGGCCTACAAGGGTGCTGGGAGAGGACTTGTTACAAGAGCCTGTAGTGATAGGACAAGGGGTAATGGGTACAAATTGAAATCAGGGAGGTTTAGCTTAGATATCAGGAAGAAATTCTTCCTGGAGAGGGTGGTGAGGCACTGGAACAAGTTGCCCAGAGAAGCTGTGGATGCCCCATCCCTGGAAGTGTCCAAGGCCAGGCTGGATGAGGCCTGGAGCAACCTGGTCTAGTGGAAGGTGTCCCTGCCCATGGCAGGGGGATTGGAACTGGATGATCTTTAAGGCCCCTTCCAACCCAAACCATTCTATGATTCTACCCATCGGGGTGCTCAGCCTGACAGTCTGGCACAGATCCGGGGCGCTGTTACCCGCCACTGGCCTCGCAAAAGGGCTCATCTCGGTGTGCAGCGACGACACCTTTGACGATACCAGCCCCGACAGGGTGAAATCACAACAAGAGACTGGAAAGATAGCTTTTGTAAATGGTCGTTTCACGGAGGAGAGACCTGTATTCCAACTCCCCTCCAGCGCCCTTCTCTCCATAAACATCCCCCAACACCCGAGGGACAAGCGTCCCAGCACAGGGACATGCGAGACCCAACGCCGGGCGCTGCTGCCGATGGGGGCGGCGACAGTGGGTCCCTCGCTGTGAAACAGGCACCGAGCAAAGCTGCTCGGGGCTGGCTTAGCGCTTTCTACCGAGAGGCAAGGGAGCAGCAGTGGAAATTTTAGACGCTGCGTTTCCACCGCAGATGGTTTTCCAGGCTGTAGAAATGAGGATTGTTCCTGGTTAATGATTGAAGACACGGTTGATGTTTACTTTTGGTATCTACCGAATGAGGTCAACGGGGCTAAGATAAACAGCGTAGGGGTAACCGTGAGATGCTGCCTGCACGTTCCAGCCTTAACGTGTGCTGGGGGTAAGGCCTTACGCTGCATCACGCTCCCATCAGGTTTTCAGTGGAATCTGGGCTCTGACCAGTCTCGGTTCCCGTCTCTGAGACACAACGTTACTGCTGGAACCCAACCAGCAACCAGAGTGGTGCAAAGTGACGTGTTGGTAGATCTGAAAACAGAACGCGCGAGGTGAACGGGGGGAGAGGCGGGGAGCAATGCCGTCAGTGAAAAATCCCACCTTACAACCAGCCGCAGCCGCTGCGAAGCCCTGTCCCTGCCGTGGGGCTGCAGTAACGGGTGCCCCCTCCTTGTCTTTCGCCAGGACTGCTTCATCGGATTCGGAGGCAACGTGGTCAGAAAGCAAGTGAAGGAGAAGGCCAAGTGGTACATCACTCACTTTGATGAACTGCTAAAGGAGCTGGAGGAACGATAAATTATACCGTAAAGTAATATATTTAACAACTGTAAATCCGTTATATAATGCAATTAAAAGTCTATTTGTTTGCAAAGTCGTGTTCTGGGTTTTGTAACGACTCTGGGTGCTGGGTGCCTTCACCTCTGGCCTGAAACTCCTGCTGTAAGCGGCACCATTCCGCTCTGTTTTGGAATGGGAATGCTAAGATTTTTTAACCCCCTTTTCCAAGGGGATGAAGGCAGCTGATCATTCACTCACAAGTGAAGACCCAGTGCAGGACATGCTCAGTAAGTTAAAAGTACCTTAATGGACTGGCCCCTGGTCAGTGCTGCGGATGCCCCATCCCTGGAAGTGTCCAAGGCCAGGCTGGATGAGGCTTTGAGCAACCTGGTCTGGTGGAAGGTGTCCCTGCCCATGGCAGGGGGGTTGGAACTGGATGATCTTTAAGGTCCCTTCCAACCCAAACCAGTCTGTGATTCTACGATTCTATTCTATGATCTGTTGTTCCAGAATCACCCAAGCTAATGCCTCTGCTTAGTGTGGGTGGGAAAAGGAGAAGTTTGTCCAGTCAATGAAACATGACAATAATAGTCTACAAGGCAAAGCGTATGGTAAGTACTATCCACCCCAAGGGATCTCAGCACTAGGTCGAACAATGAGCAGAGATGTAGGAAACACAACGAAGCCTCTCTGCTTTCGTTAAAACGTGGCGTCAGGAGGCCTCAGGTGGCATCTGCTGCGCAGTGTCACTGCTTCTCGGCCTGTAGTCTGACAGGAGATGCACGCGGACGCAAGATCCACACGACATCCGCCAGCGTCCACCAAGCCCGTTTCCGGGAACACAGTGCTTCCCCTCCTTTGTTAGTGCTCCAAACTGCTCTCCAAGATGGGGGGGTCGCACAATGGTCACCCTGCTTCCTTAGCCGTTGTATTTATTTAACAATCCACCCCCATCGGCCAAAACCGGACGCAAGCTCATTGATCGACCTTCACAAATCCTGGGCTACTGACTAAAAAATCCCGTGAAACGATCTGGCCTCTGGCAAGCGTGGAACAACCACCCATAAACCGCCGGTGCTGGAGCTAAGAACACCTTGTTCTCTGAGCTGCTGCGGGCTCCTCGTTGTCATGATTTGCCTCCCGTGCCTGCAGTGCCTGATCCAAGAGGGTCCTTACAGGGAACCCACTTGACAAACGCTGACGTTAGGTCAGCAAGGTCCTGACAACTCCGCTGAGCGCATTGCGTCAGCCGTCTCTGCTGGCACAGCTCCCTGAGCTCAAAGAATCCCACCTCTGACGACGTGAACAGCTATATTCATGTGCCGCATCTTCCACTTGGTCCACGTGATGCCCTCACGGGAGAGAGGTGGGTAGATAGGACATGATTTGTCCTGGAAAAAACCCTGCAGGCTCTTATTGCCGGGTGCTCACCCGGTATTCCTCTGGGAACTGACGGTGAGGCCGAGGGCGCCAATGCTCCCTGACCCCACCACGTTATTTCATACGAGAGAAACCAGCGATGCGCCTCCCAAGCTCTCACACTGTCTCCCCAGGAGAACCGCGGGTTTTCACAACATGGACCTCATCTCCTTAACGTCACAAAGTCGAGGTGCAGCGAGAGCTCCCGGCAGGGTTTAAGCATCACCAATGCTGGTTCTTTCCACTCTGCAACACCAAGGCCACAGGGGAAAGGCGTCAACAAAGCCAACGGCAGCTCTCAATGATGCCATCACAGGTTTTTGGCAAAACCAGAGGCAGCAATTGCTTGGAGTCAGACCAGCACGTTAAATACCGGGGGAGCAAACAGTGAAAAGGACTCCAGAAGCCAGCTTTGGGTGGCTCTGTGGCGGACAGGCACAACCAACCACAGCGAGGGTCTGTGCACGGGTGTTACAAACCTCCCGAGAGCTCAGCCAGCAGCTGGCAGGCTGCGATGTTAAGGGTGATGTCTTCAAAATCCTGAGGAGGATCTCCGCCAGCTCCCAGGGCAGCTCACGCACAATCGGGCCTTTGTGCAGCCCGGGCTGCACCAGCAGCACAAGGACACCCCGCGCGTGCGCTGCGGTCAGGAAGCTGATGTCCTGCTCACTGTGGCTTTCGACTGAATTGAGAGGCCACTAAAAACCAGCCCCTTACATCCAGATCATCAGCTGCACCCACAGGCCCCACACATGCTGCGGGTATGTGGAATTCCATCAGCACAGTCGGGGGGGGCCGGAGGCTCCGTGCCACGGGGACCTTAACATTCACAGCGGCGTTTGCCAGTCCGCGCGCTGGGGAAACGCGGCCTTGTGCCAGCGGTTTCACAGGAGCCCTTTAGGTCTGACTGGTTTGAAAAAAATACCCCCCCTCCCCTTCCACTGGGCAAACAGCAAACCTGACCTCCGGCCCAGGAGGTGCCGAAGGGACAACGCAGCTGAGGGGCTGACAATTCTGTCCGTAAGGTACCGGAATGAAATAGGAGGGAATGCAGCAGCGTGAGGGAAGTTTCCAGGTTAACGCCGAGCTACCAACGCACCTGAGCGCATCCCGGCACAGCGCCCGTCAGCCAGGCAGCAGCTGG